TATATGTTAAAATATGTGATATTATCTTCATTTTAATGTAAAAATAAAAAATATTTATTAATAAAATTGAAAACTTTATATAAAGAGAAAAATTCGCATTTTACTATGTTTAATTAGTAAATTTTGACGTCGTTGCATTATTTCTGATTGCCACTGTAGTTGTGATCAAGAAATATTCATTAATAAAATAGAAATATATTAATTTATTCAGATCTCTAGTAATTTAGTAGAACATGTATTATTTATTTATAATTTTTCTAAAAACTTTTCTCGAAAATATAAACAAAATATATTTTAAATAATCATATCAGTTTTTTGTTTCTAAATATTATTACAAATATATATTTTCAATTAGATATATTTTAGTGATAATTAAAATATGGACGTAAAAATATCAAAATATAATAAAATACGAGTTTTCTCTAAATAAAAATCATAACTAAAAATAATAATTCGTATTTTAGATTTAGATTTTTAATTAAGTTTAATCTGAGAAAGTTTTCTAATTGATTAATTTTTTATAAAAAAAATCTATTACTTATTTCGCAACTAAAAAAATTTTACAGAATACATGTTAAAATATGGATTATCACTTTTATTTTGATATTTACGGCGGCAATTAAAAAAAATTTAACATCAATGAAAGTTAAGTTTTCAATTTTACTGATCAATATATTTAATGTGCATTTCCAAAATAAAAGAACAAGAAACATGAGATTATTTCAAGCGATCATAAGAGACGCGCGTTTCGCGAAATCCTCGATGAAGTATTTGTAGATCAAAATTCAAATAGAATCCAAGTTGCATGAATGCACTTTCTGCAGGTTTCCGATATCAATATTCAAGTGATGAAATAGGCCGGTAGTATTGTGAAAATACGACATAAGTTTTCAATTTGTTGATATGTTTGGTTTCGATTCTATGGGAACTAGAGAGATAAACTGAAGCCGAGTACTGTGATGGTTCAAGGTTCTACTAGTGCATTGGATATAGTTATAAATGTCAAAACTTGATTTGTCGGAAAGAGATGCAATAAGTGACTTTGATGGAATAAAAATGCTAATTTTTCTTTACAATATTTATTTCTGCAATTTAAAAACAGTATAACACAAGATATTTATTGTACGTATATTGAATTTTATAATAAACGACAGAGTAAAAATGAGTATGCTTGCTACTCAGAGGCCTAAATACAAAATAAAAAATCGAATAAAAAAATTTATAAATATAATTATAATTATGGGATTTGAGCAACAAGGAGAAAAATGAACCGCTAGATTTGTTTAAGAAAATTACTTTCTTCAAAGGTACCAAAGAAAGAGACAACAAGAACGTAAAAATTAAAGAGGACACAACTTATAATAGTCGCTCTTGTTATATAGCTACACTCAATCCTCGGCCCATTCGTTCTCCAGCCGTATTTGTTCCTCTTCTTCGGGCGTAAAGTCGTTTATAATATTGAATGTCGCACGAATTTCCTCACAAGATTTGCCTCTTATCATGTTTGCGACTGTTTTACAGCCGAGGTCGCTTGTAGTAAATGAGAAACAAATTAAAAAAAAATATATAATTTTAATTGATCTTTATTAGTAAGAGAAAAGAACTTACATCAATGGTTTGATTTCCAAAAAATTGGCAGCCTAAATTTTCAAATTAAACCATTATGCAATTGTAAAGGATTAAAGTCTTTCATAAAGTTCTTTTGTAATTACGAAACTAGTAAATAATAAAAATCGTTACCAAGATAACATCGAACATGAGATCTTGCTCAAGCTTAAAAAAGTACTCATCCCACTCATTGATACGATCAGAGTTCTCTTCTTCAGAGTCGTTAACATGATGTTCACACCATTCAAGTACCTAATTTCGAAAAATAGCATAAAGTCAAAAATACTGCGATGCGATTTGAATAGAGGCAAACCAGTAAATTATTTACCTTTTCTAAAACTCGTTCATTGATATTATGAAGAGGAATAACTTGGTTTGATAGACCGAGATCTTTGATTAAAGACAGTTTAATAATTTATCAATGATGTATTCGAAAAATTTTTGTGATGTGCTATAGTAGAGCACATTGCCTATAGTACCCCGGTACTTGATTTTGACATAAAATTGTACTGATACTATTCTCAGCGCTTTGATTTGTGGAGAATGGGGTACTTTACTCAGGCAGGTATTATAGGAAGGGGAAATATGCAACATATGCAATTTTTTACCACAAAAATCATACCTTTAATCAGACCTTTGATCAAAGAGGAAAGACTTGCAACCGCTATATTGACTTTAAATTCCTTGTCGTCGCTGCACTGAAGCGTCACATATTCAATTGGTTTAGTTGTATCTGTGCTCATTTTTATATACTTTTTATTCCAAAAAGAGAAGATAACTATCCACTTTATTAATAGACTAGCGAGGAAAGTGCGCGCGTAGTCAATCAGTTAATTCAAGATAACTTGTCAGAATAGTGGAACAATAGGAGACATGGTTTTTCATTTATTGTATTGTTACTATTACTTACTAAACTGGTATTATTGAGTAACACAACTGCGCCATTTCTGCATGATCGTATTTAACAATAGAAATAAGAAATGAGGCACGGATATGTAGTATATACATGTAATAAGAAATGCTATCGTTAACGCTATATCGATATACGTAACAAACAAAATTGAGACTACGTATTGAAGAAATCGTTATCATTTAATACATGTAGATACAAAATTAACAAGAATCCTTTTTTGGATTAAATGTTGCACAAAATTCTTCGGAATTTACGTACCTCCAATCATATTGTGGTAAAGTGTTCACACCACCGCTAATTGACTAATCAATTAAATACATGTAATATCGATATGGTTTTTTCAACGAAAATATATTAATAAAACTAGAGTTTTTTATATTTCCAGCCAATAATTTCATCTTTGGCTAACCAAAACGTAGACGGGACTAAACTTACATTCCTTCGTAGCCTTTGATAACACTAGACATACAATGTGCAAAAAAATCTAGCCTTATTGAGTAAAAAATGTAGAGGTGCTAGAACTATCGGGTAATTCTTTAAACAAAAAAAAAAACGTGTGATTTATTTCTTTAATTTCACATCTAGAATAGAACTGTCATGATTTACAGGTGGTTTTGTGGGTGAAAGGGATAATATTTATTTGCAAAAACCTCTAGGCGAATTTTATTAGTCACTTAACCTTGGTTTAATTTGTGATTTTTCGTTTTTGTTTTCAAAATGATTGATCGATTAAAATTATACGTGATTTTTTTTCGTTTCTGATTGGTCAATGCCTGTCATCAAGCAAACATCTAGGAAAAACTGGAATTCCACCTAAAGGTTTCCAACACAGGAACATTAGTGTGCTTACCCCCTTTCTACAGTATGTTATTATTATTTATTACTAAGAATTGAAATACATAATTCAGGAATTTATTACATGTATCAATCAATTTTTGTTCATTAGCATTTGTAAAAATTCCCAGTTTTTAATAAACATAATTTGTTCTACCAAAATGGTTATTTAATCGATTTCGTTCATGTCTAATTAAGTTTCCTACTGAAAATAGACGATCAGATGGAAATAATATGGGGATAGGAATCGATTTTAACCCAAAATCGATTCCCGAGCACAAAGTACGACGATAATGACGGCGAGAACATTAGTTTTATTTTTCATTGCATGTTGATTTTTCTCTTTTCGTTGGAATAGTTGAAGTTATACTTTGATTAGTTGAAATTATACTTTGCTTAGTTGAATTCGTAGAGATACTACGTGGTAAAGTTAGTATAGAAACAATTGAAATATTGTGATTCTATATCCGTTTCATTACATGCATTCTCTGTTGTTTCATAAATATCAGTTAAACTCTATATTAACAATAGTTTCTTGGTTATTATCAATATTAACATTTTTGTTGAATGACAGTGTAAGTACGTAGTTTGTCGTGCGTTATAACATTTGCATGTTTTTCACGTGAAAATTATGATTTTTCAATTACATATATTATGCACTATCGTTATCGTTATTAATCGATTCCCATCCCTAGTTGCAAGACATATTACTAGCTATACTTTTATAAAACACACAACTGGGATTATTATTCAGAATATTCAGTCATCTATTACCATTGGCAACTCGGAATTTTATATTACTTTGTTGACTTTAGAGACAGACTAATGGGGTCTGAAATAAACTCATGGAACACTCTTGCGATTCCAACGATTTGCCACACTTGCTGACAGAAAACAAGTAATAAATGATTCAAAACATTTCGTTTCATTCTAGAATACTTATCAATTCAGAAACATAATCTTTACTATTTTTTCGTGTATATGTTATACGTCGTTTCGGGATTCACATCAATTCGGAATTGACGTGAATTCCGAGACGACGTATAACATATACACAAGGCATTATAAAAAATATTAGTTATAATGAAAGCAAAAATAACTATTGGGGCAAAGAATCTTAAAAAGAAAGAATTAAAAAGTACATGTAATTGGCAGTTACATGCATATTAATAATGTATGTATGTACTGTATATGATTTATTTTACGTAATTAAAATGAAAGAATTAAAAAGTACATATAGTTGGCAGCTACATGCATATTAATACATGTACGTGTGTACTGTATACATGTATGTATTTATTTTACGTAATTAACAAAATTGTCAGCGGAAGTTATCATTACATGTATTAATCATTATTGTGCAAATCCCTGTAAATGATAAACGTTAATCCGAAAACGGATAAACCGAAGACCAACGCGTTTACTATCCGGAATTTTTATTAGTAGCACAGAATGTGTTACCGTCGTACCTGTTTTTGTCCAACAAAATAATGCACCAACACGTACCTCAAAGCTTACCCGTCAATTTTTTGCATCGTATAATGTTCTGGTGATTGATTGGCCTGCGAACTCGCTCGATTTAAATCCGATTGAGGATCTATGGGCCATTCTCAGAAAAAAGTAGAAGTTAAGGTAAACAGGACTAAGGAAAAAATACTTACAGTTACCACTACTGATTTTCAAGGCATAATTCGAAGCGAATGGAGGGTCTTGATCAAAGTTTATTCTTTAATCTAGCGAATAGTACATGTATGTCGGATCGGATTAACAAAGTCATAGATAACGATAATGACAGTTACACTATATTCTTTATATTGTAAGCCGTCTATGTTACAAATTTTAAATAAATAAAGTAAAATTTGGTGGATTTTTATATACCATGACTAAATTCCGGATAATGTCGCGAACGATATATTTTGTGATACCAATACATTATTATCGTTATCGTTATTATTAAAGTTTAGCGACACGGATCGATGACTTATCGTTATTATTTAAAGTACAATTATTTAATTTTTTCTTTTAAAAATATATACAAAATGCGCTTGCCTGTTTAATAATATTCTTATGTTATAAAACGATTATTTTTTAGTCTGTTTGACTTGACTTAGCGTTTTCTCGTTGCTTTCTTGTTTGCCATAATTTTCACTTTTTTACAATGTCGTTGTAATTGTCTGCTTAATTTGAAGCCTTAACAATATATCCCATTACTGACTATGCATGCTGGACATGCCGGATTGGTCGCGTTTATTAACCCATCCCAGTTCTGATCAATAGGATGAATAATTCGTATCAATATCATATGAATTTAAAGTTTTAGCAACCATAAATTATTGTACTATGGTGCATAAAATCTAAAGTCATCAAACGTTTGTATTTTACAAAATGGATAAACTTCTTTACTAAGAAGTAAATACAAA